AGAACGTCAACAGCAGTGGAAACATCTATGGAAGTTGAAGGTTATGCCAAAAATTAAACATTTCCTTTGGCATTGTTTAAATGAGGATGTGGTTGTACTAGAAAGTTTGGGTAGGAGGAAGATGATGGATGATATTATATGTAAAGTATGTGGGTTGGAACCTGAATCAGTTAATCATCTTCTCTATGGCCAACTTCCTCCCCATCTAATCTAAGCGTAGAAAGCTTCCAAAAATGGAGAATTGGTCGGGCTTAAGTGAGGAGCACTCGATGAAGAGTATGGTTGCTTTTCTTTGTTGGTAGATTTGGAAGGCGAGTTATACTTAGGTGTTTGAGCAAAAATGGTGGGATGTAATGGAGATAGTTAGAATTGGAGAAGCTCACTGTTTTGAATTTTTAAATTGTAATGTTGTTCCTTTTGCTACTATGAGATCACACTGTTCAGGGCAAAATAGTTATGGGAATCTTATTAGGTGGCAAGCTCCTCCAGTGGACGTTATTAAAGTTAATACTGATGCATCATTTTGTAAAGTATTATATGAGGCTGGAGATGGAATGGTTCTGTGTGATCATAGGGGAAAAATGTTGCGATTGACATCTTTTTTCTTTCGAAGAGTTTTAGATCCGTTAGTGGCTGAATGTTTGGTACTTCGAAAGGTTATGGACTAGGTTATTCGTTGGGGTTACAGTCATATTGTGTTTGAGATTGATGCAAAGCTCACGTCAAGGCTGCGATGTTGGATGGGTCTTCATTTCTTTTACTTAGCCCTCTAGTAGAAGATATCCGTGAATGGCTTCATCATCACCCTGATTTTGATTTGGTGTATACGCCTAGAGAAAGGAATGAGGTTGCCCATGCTGCTTCTGCTTTACAAGAGAAAAGTACATGTTTATGGGATGATAATTTCTCAGAGTTTGTTTTGCATAAAGCTAGTTTGGATGTAATTTCTGATTCTAAATAATAAATATGTTTTCTTGCTTGCGGAAAAAAAAAAAAAAAAAAAAAGGTCTAGTAATTAACTGCAATTATTCGGTGCAAGAATTATTATTTTTTAATTGTTCAATTATGCAAATTACGTTGCGTCCCCACTTAATTATATTTGGTATAAATAGCCCATTAAATTATTGGGTTAGGCAATTTATGATAAGTTAAATCTCATGCAAAAAGAGTGGTGTGGCCCACACAAAAAGACTAGTGTGGTGGAGGATAACTAAAAAAAATAAAATAAAATTTTGAAATAATTTGACGTAATAAGATCAAGCATCGCAAAAAATAGGTGAATATGAGAGTAATTTACAAGTAAAGATGAGAACGTATTAGATTCACCCATCAATTAACCATAGCCAGGTTAAATAAGATTCTTTTGATTCTTTGAAAATTACATTAGTATATTCAATTGTCAAATAACGCTCACACCTACAACTGTCTAGATGTGAACTTTTAAATGCACTATAACATTTATATTGTACTTGCAATCAACCTATTGGTTGGTCTAATCAATCCAAACTGCACCATATAAATTTATTGAGATCAGTTTTTATAAATTTTATAAATAAATTTTTTTTAAAATAATAATTGAATGAGATCAGTGATACTTCAAAAAAAATAAATAAATATTGAGTGCGCTAAAGAGGGAGCCAGTATATGCCTAGGGGCAGATACCCGTGGCCTGGCCTTATCCTATATTATATATATGATTTTATATAATTTTTTATACATATACATAGAAATTTGTATATTATGCCTTCTTAAATTTTCAAAATTCTCTTAATTTTTTTCTTTTTTTAGTCGTTTACTTTTTTCATTTTTTTAATTTTCTGTTAAAAAAAGTCAAATTTTCTTTATTTGTTCATGCTCTAATTAATATCTTTCAAAGTCTTCTCATTTTTCTTTTCCTTTTTTCTTTTTATTTGTCTTTTTCTTTCTCTTCCTTAATTCTTAATTTTTTTTTTTTTTACTGTGCCCAAGTCGAATCCTAGATCCACGCCTCGGTGGGCCTTACACACTACCTTACTGGTACACTAATACAATTACAAAATGCTTTGGTTCGTTTAAAATCGCATCCGCCACGCATTTACTATGAAACGCACGGGACGCATTAAATTCGGCGGACACCCATCGGATAACCCCACGCTCACACACACACACACACACACACATTTCATCACTCATTCGATTGTCCCATTCTCCATTGTCTCAAGCCAACCACGCCCTCTCTTCTTCCTCTCCCCCTCTTCTCTCTCTTCCTCTTTTTCTCTCTCTTCATCCTCCGTCCCTCCTCCGCCGCAACCCCGCCACCGTCCCAACTCGTGGACTCCGTCTGCAAAAAAACCACAAACTACACCTTCTGCATCCAGTCTCTCTACTCCGACTCGCGCACACCCACCGCCGACTGGTTCGTGCTCGCCTACGTCTCCTTCGACTTGGCCTATCTCAATGCCACGCACACCAAAGACTACATAACTAATCTGCTCAAGAACGACACAAAAAGACATGCATCAGATAAAAACATGTTTGAGAGTCTGAGGAGGTGCCAGGGGTATTATGGTAAGGCCGTTAAGGGTTTGACTGAAGCAATCAACGATTTGGATTCGGAAACTTTCTCTGAATTGGGTAGTTTGGCAAAGGTTGCTGAAAGTGCTTCACAAGATTGTGAGGTTGCTTTCGAAGCAAAACATTATCCCAGATTTTTGTCTGGGATGAATGGAGATTTGGGTCGGCTTTGCAAGATTTGTATTGTGGTCTCTAAACTTTTTTAATGTGTCTAGTTAAAGCTGTCCCATTCTATGTATCTCAATTTATTTCTTTAAGAGGATGAGAATATCGCACACTAGCATAAATAGTACCAGACGGATATCACTTGCTCTAAGAAAAAATAAAAATAAAAGTTCTATAGAGTCAAATGCTTGTATAATTTTCTTATTAAAGAAAAGAAAAGAAAAAGAAAAAAGATTTTAAAGATGTTATATGAATCATTAGCGTCAAAGAAAAGAAAAGAAAAAATTATTTTAAAGATCTTATATTAATTATTTGGGTGTTTTGGGGATAAAATTTATAGCGCATGAACCAAAGATCAGTCTAATGGTATTTTATATACCTCCCATAGGGGATGTAGGGATTAAGGACTCTGTAAAGATAAATAAGTATGTGTTTTGACAATTAAAAAAATAATAATAAAATTAGGTAATACTATTATAAAAATTCTCTCATGACAAGAGAAACAAGCTCTCCTTCTCTAACCATGAAATTGAGAGAATGATAACAAACATTACTCTGCCTATATACAAACACACACTCTACCAGGTGCATCTTGGTGGAGGTCGTTACTTAATTACTAACCTAAATTTGATTCTTTCCTTCTAATGCAAATATTTAATGACGTTATAAGTTAATTCTATAAGACACAATTTGACTCACCTCCTCCAAACAAATGTTCAATAAAATACCGCACAAGCTAAATCTCGTGCAATCAATGTGGCCCATAGGAAAAGGGTACTATGGTCCAGGAAAACTTAAATAAATAGTTAAAACTTAAAATATCACAACTGAAACAGTGTGCTTAGCGACCTTAGGACCAACAATAACATGTCAATTCAATTAATTAACTTTTGTTATGATTTTTACAAAAATAAGGTGATGTTTCGTAATGAAAGATGAAGTGATATGACTCATTTTGGATAAGATCAAGCATCACCAAATTTAGTGAACATGAGAGCAATTTATAAGTAAATAATTAAATATTAGAACATATTAGATGCACCCATCAATTAACCATAGCCTTGTTAAACAAGACTCTTTGGGAATAACATGAGTAGATTCAATTGTCAAAAAATTCTCTCAGCTATCAGGGTCCATATGTGTAAAGATTGTTAATCTTCGAATGCACTGCGACACTTACATTATATTGCAGATGATCTATGCATGTCAAAATGAATAGATTTCTAGTGTATCATATATACACCTCTCAAAAAAATAGATTTAGAGTGAAATTATTTTTATATATAATTTTATTTGGATCGGATTAAATTATTATCTGATCGGATTAGTATAATCCATATTCAATTTGTTAGGCAAATGAATTATCGAATTCGGATCGTAATTGAATTATCGTATTTTTTGTTTAAAACATATCCAACTGATCGGATCTGATCTGATCTGAATCCAGTCCATTGAATGGTCGAACATTCACCATCCACTTTGAGAGGTAGGGGAAATATCTTTGTACGAATCTGTTATACCGCGACCGATACCGCAATTGCAAATCATGGTATTGACATGATATTAACTCGGGGTGGCCACATATCGGATTAGATCGGATTATGCATCAATCCTAATCCGATCCGCTCAAACGGATTAGACAAATCTTAATCCGCCATCAATCCATATCACTTGGTAGTATGTCTAACCAATTAAAATATACTCTCTCTGTTCCAAAAAGAATATCCTTTTTAGGGAGTAAAAATTTTTAAAGAGGCATGTGGGTCATGTATTGTCTCCTGAAAAGTTACTTACTTGCGCTTTTAAATTTTGAATAGTACATATATAAAAAGATGTATTATATATTGTTTGAAAAAAATAAAGTGGACAATTATTTTGGACAACCCAAAAAGAAAAAATAGATAATCTAAATTTGTTAAGAACAATTTTTATAAATTTATATTATTTGAAAAAAAAATTAGATAATTATTTTGGGCAACCTAAAAAGAAAAAATAGACCATCTAAGTTTGTTAAGAATAATTTTTATAAATTTATAAATAACTTTTTTTTGAATGATAGATTTTGATTGGACGAATATGTCGCAGACGTAGTTATCATCGTCACCTCAATGATTTGGTATTTTGGTCCGTTTAGAATCGCATCCGTCACGCATTTAGTATGAAACGCACGGGGCGCATTAAATTCAGCATACACCCAGCGGATAACCCCTCACACACATGCAACAAAAAAAACAACACACATTTCATCACTCATTCCATTGTCTCAAGCCAAGTAGCCAACCATGCCCTCTCTTCCTGCTCTCCCCCTCATCTCTCTCTTCCTCTTTTTCTCTCTCTTCGTCCTCCTCCACCTCCACCCCTCCTCCGCCGCAACCCCGCCACCGTCCCAACTCGTGGACTCCGTCTGCAAAAAAACCACAAACTACACCTTCTGCATCCAGTCTCTCTACTCCGACTCGCGCACTCGCACCGCCGACCGGTTCGTGCTCGCCTACGTCTCCTTCGACTTGGCCTATCTCAATGCCACGCACACCAAGGACTACATAACTAATCTGCTCAAGAACGACACAAAAAGACATGCATCAGATAAAAACATGTTTGAGAGTCTGAGGAGGTGCCAGGGGTATTATGGTAAGGCCGTTAAGGGTTTGGCTGAAGCAATCAACGATTTGGATTCGGAAACTTTCTCGGAATTGGGTAGTTTGGCAAAGGTTGCTGATCGTGCTTCACAAGATTGTGAGGTTGCTTTCAAAGCAAAACATTATCCCAGATTTTTGTCTGGGATGAATGGAGATTTGAGTCGGCTTTGCAAGATTTGTATTGTGGTCTCTAAACTTTTTTAATGTGTCTTGTTGAAGTTTCCTAGTTAATGTCAAAGGTCGTTCAGTTTTAGCATTCGAAATGATGGGTTTTTATTTTTATTTTTAAGCTTTTAATCATCATACACATCGTACGTGTGAAATTGTAATGGCTTTATTTAGTTTCATCTTACTCTGGAGGTTTATTAGTATTCTTTTTGGTTTAATAATGTTAAATGGATTCATAATAAACTTAATCTCCGGATTTTGAAAGTAGAGAAGGTACCATTGGTTTTGATGGTTAATCACAGATGGCAAAATATTGACTTTGGCTATCGATGAAACTTATGTTTTAATTGCGACTGAAAATGACCCCCATATATCACAAAACTCCAAGACACCACATTTCTGTTGGGCATTCGCTCCTTGACTCGTCCACCCAGACATCAAACTGGTCCAGGAGAACACATTATCAAATACTTTCTAAGCATCCTCTACGCGACCGGCCTTAGCGTAACCATCGATCATGTTGCTCTTGGGCATTGCGTAGAAGAGTGTTTCGGCTCTAGGGAGATCAGTATTTTTGATATAGATAGTGGTCATTGAAGCATAAGAAACAATGTCCCTCTGAGGCATTTCATCGAACACCTTCCTTGCTTCTTCTATCTTCCCATCACGATCCAGGTTACTTATCTTTGTATTACAGTTATATATATAACATCTGCCAAGACAATTGAGCTTCCATAGTTGAGAATGAAAATAGAGCTTGTTTGTAATTGTAGGTTCTGTTTTGTGTGGTGTATGTGATATGAATGTCGGACACACAGGAAGAAAGAGTGAAGCATCAAAAGATAGCGGCGATTCTTTGCAGCGTCCCATCACTTTTGGTCATGGTTTTGCGCTCCAGTCAGCGATAATAATACATTGCCGATAGTTTTGAGAGTTGCCATGAGGCATGACACTAACACAAAACACGAGTACGATACGACACGAACACTTCGAACGCGACGATACGTATATAAATATTTACGCAATGTCATAAGTAGAGCTAATACATCCTGCTATGTCACAGAAAATATTCCTTAAAAGACCAGAAACTAAAACAAAATAAACATCACATTAGATTTATAGGGATACAAGACATTGTAACCCCGCGCTACAAGATTAAATTGAGAATGTAAATTCATAATATAATCACAATATAAATGTATTGTATATTTGATTTAATGATGTTACAATGCTGTATCTAGATTTAATGTATTGTATGACTCTTGACTGTTGCATGCTTATAAATGTGTTGCATTTATATCGGTGTTGCATGAGGATCACTATTATGCAATGTATTCTGATTTAAAATATATAAGATCATAAAGTGCACCAGAGATCCTCACGCCATTAATCATTACATATATGTATGTATGTACTCGAACAGAAAAAAACTAAGTCCCACCTTTGTATATGTTACTCCCTCCCAAACTATTTGTTTCTTTTTACATTTCTAATCCAAAAATTTATGTTCAAATTTTAAAAATTGATTACAACTTTTTAGAAGTTCTCAACTAATCAAAGGTTTTTGAAATTTACTATGTATAAATATTTGATATTTAAAGATTAGATTAGAAAATTTAAAAAGAGACTGAATTAAATGTATGCTCTCTATTTAAATTCCTAAAAAAAAAAAAAAAAAAAAAAAAAAAAGCCCTTGTATTTGTTTCTCTTTAGAGTCGCCATTTAAATCTATTCAAATCCATTCAACATTGTTGCTAACTCAATATCACTTATTCATTGCAATATCGTGTTATCTTTTCACAGTTGCCCACAAACTCAAACCAAAGCGAGTATAGAGCTTATCTATCATGCTCAAACAGAAATGTTAACTAAGATCACTTACACAATTATTATTTGAATTTTCGTCATTCACTTTGAGATACTCATTTATGAATCTTACCTTTCATCATTTACTTCGTGAAATAGATAAGATTAACTGGACCACCTAACCTGAGTAAAAATGATTAACTTGACAATGATAAAAATTTGATTGATGTGATAGTGAATGATTAGATAAAGTCGCAATGTTTATCCTTTTCCGTATACTTGTGGTGGTAACATGATGTCCCATTCAGTAATTTACTTTCGGAGCATTAAAATGAGTTGTATGTATACTATTTTTTTCCCCTAAATATATGTATACTAATCCTTCTTTTCTAAGTAATGCTAGAGAGCTCATCTTGACAATATCTCCACACCGTACACTTATATTATACCTAATCGGCCCTTGGTGGAGGTTCTTAACCCGACTTTGCATAAAACAAATATTTAATGATTCGTGTAGCGGAGGTTCCAAGTCATAATTTGACTGTCCTTTCAAATATAAGACTCCCAAGTTACTAACTTAGGTCCGATTTGACATGTGTTTTGATTTTATTATTTTTATTTTTAAAGTGTTACAGTGTCGATTTTGATAATAAAAATATATTTAGTGCGATTTTATTTTATTTTACATAGTACTAAAATATTTCATGAACAGTAATCCAAAACTAAAATACTAAAAAATTATTTTTTCTTATTTTGATAACTGTTCATGGCCCAAAATCATAACAGTAGCACAACACGGGCCTTTTTTTTTTCCACAGCAAAACATGGTTATCAAATGTGTTTCTAATTTTTTTTCAAAACACTCATACAACAAAAACATTATTTCTGTTTTAGTAAAAAACAAAGCACCTAAAACAAAACACATATCAAACGGACCCTTAGTCTCGTGTAAAAAGAGATTATTACTCTTTTGTTGCCAAAATAAAAAAGAGAAAAATGATCAACCCAATCATTTTTTTACCTACTTCACATATGAAATATCTAGTCCCAAAATAATTTCTGAAAGAGTAGCACTCCTCATTTCAAAAAATATTTTCCGTTTCCAATCACACAAACTTATTATACTTATTACGAATCCTTTTTCACATTACTAAACCAAAAGGAACACTTGAAAACTAAATCCCTACGCTAAGATGAAATGTTAAAATTGAGCGCGAATTTACTCATCTCTTATTTAATTTGAAATATGTATTTGGAATAAGATATATCATGGATACTTAAAAATATAAAAATATTCTCAACTTAGATACATATTACACTTTCTTTGAAACACAGACTAACTTGTGATAAGATTGTGCATCACTACGAATGAATAAAACTCTTTTATTGTCAACTTTGATATGATGTGAATTGTGTGAATCATGAAATAAAAAGAAACAACCAGTTCAATCATTTTGCATATATACTAGAAATAAACTAGGAAATTTCAAGAAGAAATACTAAAGAGTTTAGAAACCGCAACACAAATGTTGCAAATCGCCCTCAAATTTGCATTCATGGGAGACAACAAATTGGGTTGATCAGCTTTGAAAGTGGCCTCACAATCTTTAGCATCACCATCAACATCGCTTGCCAAACTACCCAAATTGAAGTAAGTTTCAGAATCCAAATCACTGCTGGCTTCTAACAAGCTCGTGACGGCCTTATCATAATAACCCTCACACGACCTCAGACTCGAAACCATCTCCGAATCCGGTCCATTCTTGAGAAGCTGAGCTATGTAGTCTCGGGTATGCGTAGCATTGTGGAAGGCAAAGCGGAACGCGATGTCGGCGAGCTCGAACTGGTCTGCGGTGGCTGCTCGTGAGTCGGAGTAGAGAGTTTGGATGCAGAAGGTGTAGTTTGTGGTGTTTTTGCAGACGCGGTCGATGAGTTGGGATGGTGGCGGGGTTGTGGCGGAGGTGGAGTGGAGGAGGAGGAGGATGAGGAGAGAGAAAGATAGTGAGAGAGAGGAGAGGTGGGGAGAAGGAAAGGAAGGCATGGTTTGTTTCGGACGATGAGAAATGGGACAATGGAATGAGTGATAAAAAGGAGTGTGTGTTTGTTGTGTGTGTGTGTGTTGCGCTGAAATTTATAGCATGCGTTTCATATTTAATGCGTAACGGTTGATATTCTAAAACTAAGCAAATCGTGAGGATCTGATGATTGATCTACTCATGTGATTCCCAAAGAGTCTTATTTAATGGGCTATGATTATGTGAGTGCATGGGAAGAGGTCCATCCAATCTGATCTTAATTATGTTTGATTGGTTACGCAGATCCATATTCGATTATGCTTGATTCTGTGATTCAGAATGTCTGCACTAATTTACTATCTTTCATCAACTCCACAAGATTGTACTAATATACCTAATTTTTTGTTATCATTAATAATTTCTCGATGGAGTTGGTATGTTGTGATTTGTAAATCATTAAAGATAATGATTCTTTGTCCCAGGTCCAAAAATTTTTATCCTTTGAATGAAATTGGATGAAGTAGATAAGATAAAACATTTGATAAAAATTGACTTTAATTAAATTTTAAACTTAAAAATTATAATACAATCATAAAATTAGGCAATGTACTGTATACATGTATACAAATAAAAAATTGACTTTAATTAAATTTTAAACTTAAAAATTATAATACAATCATAAAATTAAGCAATGCACTGTATACATGTATACAAATAAATGCGTATTGTCCTGTCCGGACAATACTGAAGTCCTTACTTGTGAGAATTTAGAATACACCCACCGTTGATGTGGATTAATAATAAATTGACACGTCCTATTTTAATTACCAAATCATAGATGATAATCAAATCACTATTTCTAATTTGGCAAGTAAATATCTACCCATCATCTTTGATTTAATAATTAAAAATTACATGTCAATTTATTATTGATCTACACTAGCAACGAGTATTTTGTAAATTCTTATTAGTGAGGATCTAAATAATGTCATGTCCCTAAAGTTTTAGATATATTGTTGTGAGAAAGATTCAAAGAACTCCCCCATAGTATATTACTTTTTTTTAAACATAGTATATTACTTTTACTTCAAAAGTAGAATGAGAAAAGTTACTCACACAACCTCGTCAAAAGACTAAAAACTACTAGTAAATTAGGAGGAGGATAATAATATTTGTTTATTTACCAATTTACCCTCTATGAACCAAATAATATTA